AGCAGACGGGAGGGGGAGACAGACGGGAGGGAGAGACAGCCTGGGAGGGAAAGACAGACCTGGGGAGGGAGAGAGACAGACCTGGGAGGAAAGACAGACCTGGGAGGGGGAGAGACGGGAGGGAAGACAGACCTGGGAGGGAGAGAGACAGACCTGGGAGGGGAGAGACAGACCTGGGAGGGAGAGACAGACGGGAGGGGAGACAGACCTGGGAGGAGAAACAGATCTGGGAGGAAAGACAGACCTGGAGGAGACAGACCTGGGGAGGGAGAGACAGACCTGGGAGGAAAGACAGACCTGGGAGGGAGAGACAGACCTGGGAGGGAGAGACAGACCTGGGAGGGGGGAGACAGACCTGGGGAGGGAAGACAGACCTGGGAGGGGGAGACAGACCTGGGAGGGGGAGACAGACCTGGGGAGGGGAGAGAGACAGACCTGGGAGGGGGAGACAGACCTGGGGAGGGGGAGACAGACCTGGGAGGGGAGAGACAGACCTGGGAGGAGAGACAGACCTGGGAGGGGAGAGACTGGGAGGAGAGACAGACCTGGGAGGGAAAGACAGACGGGAGGGAGAGACAGACGGGAGGGAGAGACAGACGGGGAGGGGAAGACAGACGGGGAAGGGGAGACTGGGAGGGAGGGGAACAGACCTGGGAGGGGAGAGAGACCTGGGAGGGAGAGACAGACGGGGAGAAAGAGACAGACGGGAGGGAGGGAGAACAGACCTGGGAGGGAAAGACGACGGGAGGGGAGACAGACCTGGAGGGAGAGACAGACCTGGGGGGAGAGACAGACCTGGGAGGGAGGAGAAACAGATCTGGGAGGAAAGACAGACCTGGGAGGGGAGACAGACCTGGGGGGAGAGACAGACCTGGGAGGGGGGAGACAGACCTGGGAGGGGGAGACAGACCTGGGGAGGGGAGACAGACCTGGGAGGGGAGACAGACCTGGGAGGAGACAGACCTGGGAGGGGGAGACAGACCGGGAGGGGAGACAGACCTGGGAGGGGGAGAGACCTGGGAGGGGAGACAGACCTGGGAGGGGGAGACAGACCTGGGAGGAAGAGACAGACCTGGGAGGGAGGGGAGACAGACTGGAGGAAGACAGACGGGAGGGGAGAGACAGACCTGGGAGGGGAGACAGACCTGGGAGGGGGGAGAGACACCTGGGAGGGGGAGACAGACCTGGGAGGGGAGACAGACGGGAGGGGGAGACAGACCGGGAGGGGGAGACACTGGGAGGGGAGACAGACGGGAGGGGGAGACAGACGGGAGGAAGGAGCCTGGGAGGGGGGAGACAGACCGGGAGGGGAGGAGAGACAGACCTGGGAGGAGGAAGAACAGACCTGGGAGGGAGAAACAGACGGGAGGAAAGACAGACGGGAGGAGAGACAGACCTGGGAGGAGACAGACCTAGGAGGGAGGAAGAACAGACCTGGGGAGGAGGGAAGAACAGACCTGGGAGGAGAGACAGACCTGGGAGGGGGAGACAGACCTGGGAGGGGAGACAGACCTGGGAGGGGAGACAGACCTGAGGGGAGGAGAACACTGGGAGAGGAACAGACCTGGGAGAGAGAAGAACAGACCTGGGGGAGGAGGGAGGGAAGAACAGCCTGGGGAGAGGAAGGAACAGACGGGGAGGGAAAGACAGACGGGAGGGGAGGGAAGAACAGACGGGAGGGAGGGGAAGAACAGACCTGGGAGGGAGAGAAGAACAGACGGGGAGGGAGGAAGAACAGACCTGGGAGGGAGAGAGAAGAACAGACGGGGAGGGGAGAGAACAGACTGGGAGGGAGAAAGAAAGACCTGGGAGAGGGAAGAAATGGACTGGGAGGGGAAGAGACAGACCTGGGAGGAGAGAAGAACAGACCTGGGAGGAGAGAGAAGAACAGACCTGGGAGGGAAGAACAGACCTGGGAGGGAGAGAAGAACAGACCTGGGAGGAGAGAAGAACAGACCTGGGGAGGAGGGAAGAACAGACCTGGGAGGGAGGAAGAACAGACCTGGGAGGAGAGAAGAACAGACCTGGGAGAGAAGAACAGACCTGGGAGAGAAGAACAGACGGGAGGAGGAAAGAAACAGACCTGGGAGGGGAGGAGAAACAGACCTGAGGGGGAGGAAGAACAGACGGGAGGAAGACAGACCTGGGAGGGAGGGAAGACAGACTGGGAGGGGAGAGAAACAGACGGGAGGGAGAAGAACAGACCTGGGAGGGAGGAGAAACAGCCTGGGAGGAGGGGAACAGACCTGGGAGGGAGGGAAGAACAGACCTGGGAGGGAGGAGAGACAGACCTGGGAGGGAGAGGAAGAACAGACCTGGGAGGAGGTAGAAACAGACTGGGAGGAAGAAGACTGGGAGGGAGGAAGAACAGACCTGGGGGAGGGAGGGAGGAAGAACAGACCTGGGAGGAAAGACAGACCTGGGAGGGAGAGACAGACCTGGAGGGAGGAAGAACAGACCTGGGAGGGAGGAAGAACAGACGGGAGGGAGGGGAGGAAGAATGGACGGGAGGAAAGAGACGGGAGGGAGGAAGAACAGACGGGAGGAGAGGGAGGAAGAACAGACCTGGGAGGAAGACAGACCTGGGAGGAGAGGAAGAACAGACCTGGGAGGGAGAGAAGAAGACCTGGGAGGAGAAGAAGCAGACCTGGGAGGAGGGAAGAACAGACCTGGGAGGGAGGGAAGAACAGACCTGGGATGGAGAGAAGAACAAGACCTGGGGAGGAGAGAAGGAACAGACCTGGGAGGGAGGAAGAACAGACCTGGGAGAGGGAAGAAACAGACCGGGAGGGAGGTAGAAACAGACCTGGGAGGGAGGAGGGAAAGAACAGACCTGGGAGGGAAAAGACCTGGGAGAGAGAGGGAAGAACAGACCTGGGAGGGAGGTAGAAACAGACCTGGGAGGGAGAGAAACAGACCTGGGAGGGAGGGGAAGAACAGACCTGGGAGGGAGGTAGAAACAGACCTGGGAGGGAGGGAAGGAACAGACCTGGGAGGGAGGAGAAACAGACCTGGGAGGAGGGAAGAACAGACCTGGAGGGGAGGGAGAAACAGATCTGGGAGGGAAAGACAGACCTGGGGGGGGAGAGAGAGACAGACCTGGAGGGAGGAAGAACAGACCGGGGAGGGAGGGAGAAACAGAACGTAGAGGGAAAGACAGACCTGGGAGGGAGAGAGACAGACCTGGGAGGGGAGGTAGAAACAGATCGAGGGAAAGACAGACCTGGGAGGAAGAGACAGACCTGGGGAGGGAGAGACAGACGGGAGGGAGGGGAAGAACAGAACTGGGAGGGAGGGAAGAACAGACCTGGGAGGGAGGGAGAGGAAGAACAGACTGGGAGGGGAGGGAGGGGACGGACTTGAAGGAGCGCCACCTGCTGGGACTTCGATTTTCCAAACATTGATCGACCCTGGTCGTCAAGAGGAGCCACTGACAGATAGAGCATAGAGAAAGAAAACATCAAGAACTAAGACGACCACCTTCCTTGGAGGAGCAACTTGGCGGACTTGTGACTGGCGGACTTGGTGACCTTGGCCTGGAGACCTGGCGGACTCGGGACTGGCGGACTTGTGACTTGGCGGACTTGAGACTGGTGGACTTGTGACTTGCCGGATTGTGACTGGCAGACTTGAGACTTGGTGGACTTGTGACTAAGGGACTTGGTGACTTGGCGGACTTGAGACTTGGCGGACTTCAGGACTTGCCGGACTTGTGATTTGGCGGACTTGTGACTTGCCGGACTTTGACTCTGGCGGACTTGAGGACTTGTCGGACTCAGGATTTGGTGGACTTGTGACTTGGCGTGGACTTTGGTGACCTGCGGGACTTGTGACGGCGGACTTGTGACTTAGCGACCTGTGACTTGGCAGACTTAGACGGCGGATTCGCGACCTGGTGGATCGGTGACTTGGCGTGACTTGGTGACTTGGCGGGATTGCAGACTTGCCGATCCTGACCTGGCGGACGGTGACTTGGCGGACTTGTACCTAGTGACTTGGTGACTTGGCGGACCCTGGACTCGGCGACTGTGACCTGGTGGACCTGTGACTTGGCGGACTTGACTCAAGGACTTTTGACTTGGCGGACTTGTGACTTAGTGGACTAGACCTAGTGGACTTGTGACTTGGCGGACTTGTGACTGGCGGACTTGTGACTTGTGGACTTGTGATTTGCCGGACCTGTGACTTGGTGGATTTGTGACTATGGACTTGGTACTCGTAGGACTTGGTGAGCTTGTGACCCAGACCAAGGACTTGTGACTGGCGGACTTGTGACGGTTGGACCTGTGACTTGGTGGACTGAGACTCTGGCGACTTGGTGACTTGGTGACTTGTGACTTGGCGGACTTGTGACTGTCGGACTTGTGACTTGGCGGACTGACTGGGGACTGTAATTTGGCGGACTTGTGACTTGCGGATTTCAGGACTTGTCGGGACTTGTGACTTAGTGACTTGACTTATGGACTTGTGACTTGGCGGACTTGTGACCATGACTTGTGACCAGGACTTGTGACTTGGCGGACTTGTGACTTGAGGACTTGTGACTTGGCGGACTTTGACTTGGGTGACTTGTGACTTAAGTGACTTGGTGACCTGGCGGACTTGTGACTTAGCACTTGTAACTTGGCGGACCTAGGACTTATGGACTCAGACTTGCGGACTTGGGACTTGGCGGACTTGTGACTTGGCGGACTTGGTGACTTAAGTGACTTGGTGACTTGGTGGACTTGTAACTTGGCGGATCCCAGGCTTGGGACTTAGGACTTAGTGGACTTGTGACTTGTGGCGGGACTTGTTACTTGGCGGACTTGAGACTTGGCGGACTTGTGACGGCGGACTTGGTGACTTGGTGATTTGTGATTTGGCGGACTTGTGACTTAAGGACTTGTGACTTGGCGGACTTGTGACTTGTGGACTTGTGACTTGGCGGACTTGGTGACTTAGGTGACTTTGGTGACTTGGCGGACTCAGGTGACCTGTGACTTGGAGACCTGGTGACTTCAGACTTGGCGGGACTTTGACTTGGCGTGACCCAGGACTAAGTGACCCCTTTGACTTGGCGTGACTTGTAACTTGGCGGACTTTGGACGGCGTGATCTCAGACTTGGTGACTTGGTACTTGTGACTTCAGGACTTAGTGGACTTGTAACTGGGCGGACTTGTGACTTATGGACTTGTGACTTGTGGACTTGTGACTTGGCGGACTTGTAACTTGGTGGACTTGTAACTTGGTGACTTGTAACCTGGGGACTCTGGTGACTTGGCGGGACTTGGTGACTTGGCGGACTTGTGACTTTGTGACGGTACTTGGTGTACTTGTAACCTGGTGGACTTAAGACTTGGCGGACTTGTGACTTGGCGGACCTGTGACTTGGCGGACTTGTGACTTGGCGGACTTGTGACTGCGGACTTGTAACTGGGACTGGAGACTTGGTGGACTTGTGACTTGGTGGACTTGTGACTTAAGTGACTTGTTACTTGGCGGACCTGAGACTTAGTGGACTTGTGACTGAGTGACTTGTGACTTGGTGGATTTGTGATTTGGCGGACTTGTGACCTATGGACTTGTGAGCTTGGCGGACTTGAGACTTGGTGGACTGTGACTTTATGACCCAGGATTTGGTGGATCTGTGTCTAAGTGGACTTCAGGACTCTGGTGGACTTGGAGACTCTGGTGACTTGAGACTTGGCTTGTGACCTGGCGGATTCTGGTGATTTGCACAGACCTGTGACTGGTGATTTTGGTGACTTTTAGGACTTGTGGACTTGGAGGACTTGTGACTTGGCGGGACTTGTGACTCTGCCGGGACTGTGACTTGGGGACTTTGACTATGACTTGGTAACTTGTGGGACTTGTGACTTGGGTGACTTGTGACTTGTCGGACTTGTGACTTGGTGACTTTTGACTTTGGCGACTTGTAACCTGAGTGGACTTTGACTTGGCGGACCTAGACTCTATGGCCTTGTGACTTGATGGACTCAGGACTTAGAGGACTTGTAACCTAAGGACTTTGACTTATGACCAGGACTTGTCTGACCCTGGACTTGGCGGACTTTTGACTTAGTGGACTTGTAACCTATGTACTTGTGACTTAAGTGACTTGGTGGACTCAGGACTTGTGACTCAAGTGACTTGTGACTTGGTGGGACTCTGAGACTTGGCACTTAGACTCTGGTGGACTTGTAACTTCGTGGACTTGTACTGTCGGACTTGGTAACTTTGTGACTCAGACTTGGCGGACTTGTGACTTGAGACTTGTAACTTGAGGGATCTGTAGGCATGGCGTGACTGGTGACTTAAGGGACTGGTGACTTGGCGGACTTGTGACTTGGTGGACTGTGAGACTTGGTGACTTGGTGACCTGGTGACTTGGTGACATGTGACGTGTGACTTGGTGGACTTGTGACTCTTGGTGGACTTGGTGCACGGCTGGACTTGTGACTTAGTGACTTGTTACTTAAGTGGACTTGAGACCTAATGACTTGCAGGACTTAAGTGGACTCGTGACTTGGTGGATTTGTGATTAAGGACTTGGTGACTTGTCGGACTTGGTACTCTCATGGACTGTGACTTGGCGGACTTGTGACTCAAGGACTTGTGATTTAAGTGACTTGACTCGGCGGACTTGGACCTGGCGGACCTTGGAGACTTGGGTGGACCTGGACTTGCCAGTGACTTAAGTGGACTTGTGACCTAATGTGACTTTTGACTTGGCGACTGTAACTTGTAGGGGGACTTTTGACTCTGGCGTGACTTGTGACTTTTGTGGACTTGGTGACTCTGGTGACTTGTGACTAGTGGACTTGTAACTCTGGCGTACTTGTGACTCTGTGGACTTGGTGGACTTGTGGACTGACTCATGGACTGTACTTGGTGACTTGTAACTTGGGGACTTGTGACTTGGTGACTCTGAGGACTTGGCGGGATTCTTGGACTAAGGACTTGTTACTTGGTGACCTGAGACCTGAAGGACTTGTGACCTATGACCTGGTGACTCTGGTGTATTTGGATTTGGTGGACTTGTGACTCAAGGACTTGTGACCTAAGGACCTTGGAGACTTGGTGACCCCAGACCTAAGTGACTTCTGCAGGATTATGTGACCCGTAACTGGCGGACTCAGGACCTGGCGGACTTGTGACTTGGCGGACTTGGAGACTGGGTGACCCCAGACTTGTGACTTGTGATTCTGGTGATTTGTGATTTAAGTGACTTGTAACTTAAGTGACTTGTGGACTTAAGTGACTTGGAGACCTGGTGGACTTGGACTCTGGTGACTTGTGATTTGGCGGACTTGTGACTCAAGTGACTTGGACTTACGTTCCTGAGACTTAGGACTTTGTGACTTGGTGGACTCGGAGACTTATGGACTTTGTGACTTAAGGGACTTGTGACCTATGGGACATGTGATTTGGTCGGACCCCAGACTTGGCAGACGGTGACTCAAGACTTGATTTGCCGGACCCAGACTTATGGACTTGTCGGACTCTTAAGCAGACATGTGATTTGCCGGATTTGTAACCTGGTGGACCTGGTGACCTAAGTGGACCTGTGACTCAAGGATTTGTGACTTAAGTGACAGATTTGCCGGACTTAGACTTAAGGACGGAGACCTGGTGACTTGGTGACTTAAGTGAATTGGTGACTTCAAGTGACCCAGGTAACTTGGCGGACTTGTGACTCAAGTGACCCCAGACTTGGGGACTTGGTGACTTCAAGTGACCTGTGACTCAAGTGACTTGGTGACTTGGTGACTTGTGACTTGGCGTGGACTTGTGACTCTGTGACTTGGTGACTTGGTGACTTGTACCAGACTTAAGTGGACTTGTAAACTTCAAGGACCTGTGACTCTGGCGACTTGTGACTCTGGTGACTTGCTTGGACTTGTGACTTGGTGACTTGTGACTTCAAGTGTGGATTGTCTGTGGTTGTGACTTGGCGGGTGACTCTGTGGACTTGTGACCGGACTTGAGACTTGTGACATGAGACTTGGTGATTCTGTGACTGGTGGATTGGTGCCTGGCGGACTTGTGACTTGGGCCCTGTGACTTCAATTGGACTTGGTGGACTTGTGATGTGGACTTGGGTGATTTGCATGGGACTGGACTTGTGACTGTGACTTGGTGACTTGTAACTTGGAGTGACCCCAGACTTGGCTTGTGACCTAAGTGGACTTGTGACTTGGTGGATTTGTTATTAAGTGGACTTAGACTCTGGTATCTTGTGATTAAGGACTTAGGACTTGGTGGATTTAGATTTTAGACTTGGTATCTGAGGACTTGTGACTATGTGACTTGTGAACTGGTGACTCACTATTTGGTGATTTGACTTGGAATTAAGTGACCTGGTGACTTAGTGACCTCGTGACTTCAAGTGTGATTTTGAGACTTGAAGTGACTTGTGACTTGGTGGACTTGTGACTTGGTGATTTGGTGATTTATGACTTGTAAATTTAAGGACTTGTGACTCATGTGGGACTGGGACTTGTGACTGTGACTTGGCGGACTTGGTAGGATTTGGCGGACTTGGTGGACTTGGCGGACTCAGTGACTTAAGTGACTTGAGACTCTGGTGACTCGCACTTAAGTGGACTTGTGAGACTTCAAGGACTCTGGTGACTAAGGATTCTGTGACTTAAGCATGTGACGTTTTGACCCCAGGATCAAGGAAGACTTGGTGACTTGGCAGACCCCAGGACGGTTTGACTTGTGACTTAAGTGACTTCAGACTTGGCAGACATGTGATTTCAGTTTTGGACTCTGTAACTTGGTGGACTGTGACCTAAGTGACCTAGACTCAAGACCCCAGACTTGGTGGACATGATTTGCCGGACTTGGTGACTTGGGTGCACTGAGACTGGTGGACTTGTGACTTGCTGAATTGTGACTCGGCGGACTTGTAACTTGGCGGACTTTGTGACTTACACTGTGACTCAAGTGACTGGCAGGACTTGCTAGACTGCAGACTTAAGTGACTTGGTGACTTGGTGGACTTGTGACTCTGGCGGACTTGGAGACTTATGACCAGACTTGGGTGGACTGTGACTCTAAGTGGAATTGTGAATTCATGGACTGTAATCAAGGACTGTGACTTAAGTGGCTCTGCATTCAAGCATCAATTCTGAAGTGGATCAGAATTTGGGAAGTGACCTAGACCTGGAGGGACTGCACCCCATGGACTGTGACTCAAGTGGCCAGGACTCCAAGGGACCTGTGACTCAAGTGGACTATGACCAAGTGGACACATGAGACCATGGGTGGACTTGCAGACCGGGGTGGACTTGGTGACTTCATGGACTTGGTGACTTGGCAGACTTGGTGACCTGGCGGACTTGTGACTTGGCGACTTGGGACCAAGACCCAGGACTTATGACTTGTGAACTCTGGCGGACCTAGACCCCATGGACTTAGACCTGGCGGACTTGTGACTTATGGACTTGTGACTTAAGGAAGTGGACTTGAGACTTATGGGCCTTGTGACCTGGTGAATTTTGCACTAAGTGGAATGGGTAACTTCAAGTGGGACTGTGGACTATGACTTGTGACTTAAGTGACTTGTGACTCATGGACTGGCAACTTGGCGGACTTTATGGCCTAAGGGACATGTGATTTGCCGGACTCTGACTTCTGGGCGAACTTGGTGACCTGGTGGACTTGTGATTTTGCACTTGAGACTATGACTTGCAAACTATGGACTGGAAGTACATGTGATTTGCCGACTTGTGACTATGAACTTAAAATTTGGTGACTTGGTGATCAAGTGTGACTTGGTGACTCTAAGTGACTGAGACTTGGTACTGGGTGACTTGGTACTTGTGACTACAGATTTTGTGACTCTAAGTGGATTCTTGTAACTTGGTGGACTTGTGACCAAGACTGTGACTTAAGGACTCTGGAGACTGGCAGACTTGTAACTCAAGTGGGACTTGTGACTAAGGACTTGTGACTTGCTGGACTTGCATTTGTCGGACTTGCAATTCTGGCGGATTTGGTGACCAAGTGGACTCAGGACTATGGACTTGAGACTTGGGTGGACTTGTGATTTGGTTGGACCTAGATTTGCCGACTGTGACTTATGGACTTGTGACTTGGTTGGACTGGTGGACTCAAGTGACTTGGAGACTCAAGTGACTTGGTAAACCCTGGCGGACCCAGACCCCCCACCCCCCCACCTCCCCACCCCCTCCTCTCCCCCACCTTTCCCCACTCTCCTTCATCTCCTCCCCCCTACCTCCCCCCCACTCTCTTCCCCTACCCCCCCACCCCCCCACCCCCCCACCCTCCCCCACCCCCACTCTACCTCCCTCACCCTCCCCCCCCCCCCCCCCCACCTCCTCTCTCTCACCCCCTCCATCCCTCTCACCTCCTCCCCCCACCCCCCCCCACCCTCCCTCTCTCTCCCCACCTCCCCCACCCCCCTCACCCCCCCCCACCTCCCCCCACCCCCCCCACCCCCACCTCCCCCACCTCCCCCCACCTCCTCCTCTCCCCACCCCCCTCACCCCCCACCCCCCACCCTCCCCCCCACCCCCTCCCCCACCTCCCCCCACTCCCCCCCACCCTCCTCCCCACCCCCCACCCCCCACCTCCCCCCCCCTACCCTCCCCAATCCCCACCCCCCCCACCTCCTCTCCCACTCCTCCCCCACCTCCCTCCCCACCCCCCACCCTCCCCCCACCTCCCCCCACCCCTCCCCCCCACCCTCCCCACCTACCTCTCCTCCCTCTACCTCACCCCCCCCCCCCCCCCCACCCCCCCACCCTCTCCCCCACCCCCCTCCCCCCCACCCCCTCCCCACCCCCCACCCCCCCCACTCTCCCCATTCCCCCCACTCCCCCCCCACTCCCCCTCCCCATCCCCCTACCAGTCACGCAATCAGCACGA